TTGTATAATTGTAAGACCGGTGCTATTCAATTTTTTCAGTACTGATCTATCAGTCTATATCTCTCAAAGGGGCTTATCAAATTTCACTTTGACCTTAAACTAGGAAATCAGAATCTGATGTGTGCATCCTAAAAAAAGTTTGCCAGCCAATCATATTTCAATGTCTGTGGTGTAACGCAAAAAAACAAACCAAACCAAAAAATCGTTCATAACTCTATTAACCTGCCTTCTGCGCACTAATAACAAGGTTTCCTTGCGAAATTTTGGCGTTGGAAAAGTTCTTTCTGATATAACTTAATAGTAAACTCTAACCCTAATTTAACTGCAAAATTTCCTTCATGAAATTTTTTAAGTTGGCTATGTGCATTCAGTTTGCTTGGAACTATTGTCCTTGCTAACGGTTCGAACAATAAAAATATTAGGACAAAGTGAAAGCTGAGTTGATTTTATTATTAGTGTGCTACGAAAAGGGTGAAATTCGCGCTTTTTTTTGATGCATATCTAGGGTATCTCTGACGTGGGTTCACCCTGTCGTAAAATATTTAATAGATATATATTTTTACTCAAAAAATAATTTTGTCCAAATAAAAGTAAACAAATGACAATTTATGTACCAAATTTCATTTGAAAATACGCGTTACAAATAATGATACATACTAATAAAAATTCATATACGTATGACATTGATTTATATTAAAAGTAGTACTAAATCAATTTTGGTTCTACAAGAAATGATAAGATTTGCAGGAAAACAATGTTTAATAAAGGTTTCAGAATAAAAAAAAAAACATGCTCATATTTATTGTCATTTCTACCATTGCTGAAAGGCATTCAAATAAGAGAAAATATTTTTATATAGGTATGGTTACCTGCATAGTTAATATAGAAGAAAATATCAATTATAAGTGTCTCAAACAATTTGTTTTATATACGAGATTTGATGAGATTATCTGATAATCTCAATTTCATTGTTTACTCAGTTCATATCAGTTTCTATTCAACTACTTTATTAGTCTTTATTACTGTTACAAGGTTTACTAAATTTTAACTATCTTTATTGATTGCATTCGTTACACAGGTAGAACAGCAAATCTTTTTTACAAGTATTCATTCAAAAATCTTTAGTGTGATGTGCAACTTTTCCAAGTATTTTCGTATCTCTTTCGTATGTGATTTAAAAGTCTGAAAAAATATTGAGAAGATATTTAAAAAGGTTGCACATCACACCAAAGATTTTTGAATGAATACTTGCCGAAAAGGTTATCTTTATATGGTTATATATTTATTATTGTTTTATAGATGATTCTATACTGTGCATTATTATTTTAATAATAGTTGTCAAATGTATTTAATCTTAGCATTGATGGCATTTAACAAATTAATATACATTTAAACACAGATATTAATAATTGTCACGACAGATGTTGAAATTTAGGGTCTCGATTTGAATATAAGCCCTGCTAAATCTGCATATACATTTTAATCATAAATTCTAGCCAGAAATTCTAACAATTATTGTCATAACTGAAGCTGGAAATGGCTAAAGCTGGAGATTTCAAATACACATATTTTAATATTAAATTTTCAAAAGTTTTTTTTTCTTTTTTAGTCTTGATAGTAGATTTTTATTAATGTTAATTGAGGTCTTTAATTTACAGATACAGCCTTAAGCACGTAATTAATATCATGTTTAATTTTTAAAATGACAGAATTAAATATAACTCATGATCACGCATTGCTTCTGATATTTAGTCAGGACAAATTCTTTGATTTGACGATAACCATGAGGTTACTATCTTAAATTTCGAATTAGATAAAGTGCGAGAAAAGTATCTAAAAAATAGTCGTAACTCTGCGCAGTAAAAAAAAGGGTTACTTGTAAAGTTTTGTATCATTATAGTCTCCAAATCTTACACTGAAAAGAGCGATCCTAATCCCAGTAAAAGTTTTTCTAGGATGGCAATGATAGTATCTTATGAACCAATTGGCCTTATAAAAAAAATTTTGAAGCTTTTGCAATATGTAGCATTTCATTGACACTCAATTCACCTATATTTTTATTTCGCTGACAATTATTTCACCAACACGTTCATTTCACCAACAGCCTATTTCACCTAATCTCAAATAATTTTGGTCATTGTCTTTAGGGTTTAGGTTAACAGAATTTATAGAAAAAGCATGACAAATTGAGTGTCGGTGAAATCTTACTTCTACGAAATGAAGTGATGCATAACCAAAAATAGGTTGTATGATATCTGATTTTTTATAAATAAGTGTTCTTTACAGAGTTAATAACCATAATTCAAAATCTTAATAATAATAGTCACATATTTTTACCACACATGAAAAGAAAATATTAGAAAATTTTATCACAAAAAGACCTGTTTCCTATAGATTTCTAAAATTTTGACCAAAATTAAAAAATCTTATAAAGATTATCGACACAAATTACGTTAATGCAGGCAAAAGTACCGAACATCATTGCCAACAAAAATTAGTAATATTATACTCATGAACAATGTAACTTCAATTGTTTTAAATATAATTGACATTTAGACCGATGCTACTGCTCAATTCGTAGCAGAGTTCTCGAATTTTTCTAGCATCTAAAATAGCATAAGCAATATCTCAAAAACAATCGAACTAAACTCGGTAAAACTTTTTTATTTTGTATTCTATAGACATGTAGAATTAAAATAAATCAATTTTGGATGGATTTGGATATGTAGTTGTCGTAATATCACTAGTGCCATTTTAGCTGCTTGAAAAATCCGAGCACTTTGCTTTGTAGACAATTACTTCATGGTCACAGACAATTTATTCGCGGATAATATATTTTCTTGCGGAATATTTCAATGTCAAGATTCTATTTTTGAGTGCTGCAATTTTTATAACATTGGGAAATAAGTCTGGTTCATAAGTAAGAAATGTATGTTTTTAAATGCTTAAATAAGAGTAAAGTTCGCTATCTTGAAAACATTGATATTGTTACCTTTTATACACTTGTGTAAGCGTATCATTATAGGTATTTTTATCGATTCGATTAATAAAATTATATGACCCAAATTTTAACTGAATTACCAGATCATTTACCATCTCTGCAACATATAGTTGTAAAGTGTATAACAAATGTATACCCGAATTGATATTATGGTACTACTTTAGGGTGCCCTAATTTCCCCACCACTTCACTATCGAAGAACTATAAAATTGATTAATAACAGATATGTGAATAATTAATAGAACCGATCCTAAGTGGTGGGGGAAATTATTCCGATGTCAATTAACCAATCAAAATTTGCATTAGTGACTAACTGGGAGCTGGTTTTGATTAGTCAATTGATATCAGAAGTATTCACTGTCCCTGGCTTGAGGTCAAATTTCTTTTAAATGGTTACGCATCACTTATTTCACAGACAAGTTCATTTACCGACAGTTTATTTCATCGACACATCTACGAAATGAGTGTCGGTAAAGTGAGTCGCACCGTTTTCAAATAAATATGAGAACTGTCGTTAATGATTCCTTTTTACATTAACCACCCACTGTTCATAACAGCAGTGATATAGAAAAATACATCCGTTTACCGTTTAATTCCGTCTAAAGCTCAGATGTTTCGCGGTTTGCCGAGGTTTAGTATTTTAACAGGGGTTTCTCTTTGACTTTCGCAAAGCTTAAGCTTTGTCCTTTGCCATTATGTAAAATGGTTTCACATAAAATCATAGGTTCTCTCAAAACTTACACTTTAGCCTGAACTGGGATTTTTAAATCGACACGTTCTATGACCATACTGCAATATTTAAATTAAGCGACAAGCCAATTGTATGGTGTTATGTGCAAATCCGACCCTAGGACATGGGGAATAAAACGTGTAACGACACCCGAAACGCCCCATGAAAACCGTGGTACCACGATACCCGCGACCCAGGACAAATCAAGTTTTTCATTAAGTGACGGCGCCGATCCATTGAAGAAGAAGCCACCCGCCCGATTTGGAGTACATCTGTCAAGGTAATATTACCTTTTTTGTCACTCACTTGTAGACAGGGTTAGTACGGAATGAAAGTTCATTAAACGACTATATAATTATGGGACTTAAAGAGTATCGTCACTTAAATTTAATACCTAAAGTTCAAACATTGTATTATTACTAAAATACTTGTTTCAAATATTTCAAGCTTCCTCTCTGAATAACTAAACTTATCCTTAGCTCAATTAGAAACCCATTAACTCTGATGCCTTAATCTGCATGGTAGCTATTGACCTCAAATAAAGTAGCACCGCTTTTGAGTCCCAACCACCAATAGCTTTAATCTGGGTCAAGCTCATGCCTCCCTTTATAGCTGCCATGGCATCCCCAATTCTTAAACTATGAGATGTAAAATGACCCTGAATACCGCATTCTCTGTTATTCGCTTAACCAGTGAGGATATTGCTGCTATTGTCATTTGTTTGTCAGTATTTGACAAAAACAAAGGCTCATCTACTTGTGTTCTTGGTCTAACCTTTAGGTACTTTTTCAGTAAATATACTGGGCAAAACCTACTGCCAATCCTCTTAATTGGAACAAATTTCTCATTAGCGAATGGATCATTCTTTGATTTCCTAATTTTTATCCATAACAGATCACCCCTATTCTCAATATCTTTTAATCTTAATGAACACAGTTCACCTGGCCTTCACATTGTTCAGAACTCTAATGCTACTAAGACTAGGTCCCGTCACCAAAAGATTTCATTGGCATGGCTAGGTGGAGTATTATGATAACTTTTAAGAGCCTCTAAAGAAAAGGGATTCTAAGGCCAAGGTGCATTCCGATATTGAGCTCTAAGTAGTCTTAAACCCCTAATCACCTTCTTAATTCTTAAATTTTCTGTTAAGTCTATACAACCAGCTCTTCTTCATCTTTTAGACAAAGCACTCAAGCAAGTTTGTACATATGAACTTTGTTCTGACATATCCAACCAACCTATAAAGGCCATTAACATATCTATGTTTACTTATTCTTCTGCTACCCCTGCCCAACCACAAAACTTTCTAAAATAATCATATGCTTTATTCAAACAGGATCTTTGAGAAGGGCCTATAGAATTAAATACAAGAGACTTGACATGCATTAACAATTCCTTGGCCATTCCACTCTTGCTGCAATTAATTTTCAATTTGGGTTTCTGCAAGACTCTCTCTGACCTGAAGGCCTAGACAAAATAATCTTGGCAGCTGGCAGAAGACTTAACACTCTTTTTGAAGACAGCAAAAAGAGGGGCCACCATGGTGTTGACTTTCAGACTGGTAGAATTAAAATTAGAGTGGCCTTGCACTCCAGACTGTGAACCAAAACGTTCTGAATAATCCCAAATGGAGGGCAGACATAGTTTATTTCCTTTTTCCAGTTCTGTGTAAAGGCATCTATAGCCTCTGTTCCTAGGCAAAAGAAGAAACTATTGAAGTGACACTTCTTTGTATTCAGGTGGTCCACAAACCTGTCTATTGTCACCTCTCCCCATTGACTCTTCAGCTACTGAAATATTTTGTCACTTAATCTCCAATCGTTGGTGTTCATATTCCTTGATAGATAGTCTGCTAGGTTTTCTGTACTCGGAATCCAATAAACCTTGTAAATCCAAATGTTGCTCTTCGCACAAAACTCCCACAGGCAGCATGCCATGTCCTTTTGCCAAGCCAAACTTCCCCCTTGCATCACTGTTCTTTTTACAACTATGTTGTTTACAAACAACATTACCTAAGAATGCTCTATCAGGTTTATGAAAGACTGAAGCATCTCTAATACTGCTAAACTTTCTAATTGTGCTGTCTTTATGATCCTGCCTGGTCAGATTCAACTCCCTACTGCTTTGTTTCCCAAATACACTCCACACTATTCTCTTGTCAATGCTTCTACAAAGATTGGTTTTATTAAAGATGGCTTCCATGCTGGCTTTCTATTTCAATGCTCCAGATTTTCGCTTAACCAGCATATGTCCTTTCTTACTTGAGTTGTTAAGGGAACAACCTCATCCCACTGCCAAATATCCCAATTCTGCACATCTATTATGCTGTAAAATTTCAGAGATTTTACTTGAGCTAGGAGAAATGCTCATGAAAAGCTTTGAATTTTTCCAGCTATTGAGGCTAACTTTCTTACGCTTACTTTCTGCAGCAACTTTAGAGACCCTAGCTCCTCTCTTACCAACTCCAACTTTTCCTGTGTAACTCACACTTGAGCCAGGACTGTATCTAACTCCAAACCCAAGTACCTTACCACCTGTGTCAGATCTCATTGGCCTTTCTCTAAAGCTCTTATCCATCTGCAACCAGCTAAGTCCTTTGAAATCACTGTATCCCTGATCTCTAACAATGTCTTTCTGTCTGAATGGGCTACCCAAACATCGTCTAGATAGTTCCCACAGAAAATTCCCCTTGCCTTTCATGAACTGATAAAAGCCCTCATAATCTTTGAAAAGATCCAAACTGCCTGTGAAAGACCGAAAGGTAGGACTACATAATGATACTACATCTCTTCCTGATTGAAAACCAAGAACCGCTGAGCCCAATCGTCCATCCTTACATAGTGATAACCATCCTTCAGATCGAAGGTGATTATCCACCAACTCTGTCTGATCGATCTTAGAAACCCCCCTAAACCTTCAAAACATATTGACTTCTTTGGCAAAGTCTTGTTCAGATGCCTTAAGTTCACTACCAGCCTGTACTTCTTTAGACCCTTTTTTGGAACCAAAAACGCTGGGCTCACCTTTAACAGAAACACTAGCCTTTCTTTTCCTTGACCCACTCATCGAATTGCACCTAAACTGCAAAGTCTGCTTAACTCTTTCTCTAGCCATTCCAATTTCTCTCTTGTGAAACTGAATTGTCTTGGAACTACTCTCATTAATAAAGATTTTACATCTTTTGGAAATAACGGTATCTCTTTCTCTAACCAAACTATTACCAATGCTGCTGGCTTTATAATTCTCCTTCAGTAGTCTATTGCCTCCTTCATATAAACCCTTCCCACAACAGACTGTATGACCCCTAGTTCCCCTGCAACCTTTTGAGCTCCATCCTGAGTGTAGTCAACTTTCAGGCTTCAACTCTGACTTCTGAAAGGGCAAACCAGCCTTCTTTTGAGGGCAGTTAGTAGCAATATAACCTTTTTCTTCACAGACATAGCAAATTATATTGCTTAACCTCCCTGCTTTCTTTTCTGTATCTCTTAGATCAAAGGGAACTGATTGTTGCTGCATTGCTAGTAAATTAGCCCAGCTTTGACTGTTTAGCTGATTACCTTGCACTGGTAGTTGCCTGCCAAAAAACTGTTGTATCATTTGACTGTAGGATGGGAACTGGCTTAACTGACTAGGTAGCTGCTGCTGAGGTACAGTTGTATGATAAAACGGCATACTACTCTGATCCAGATATGACTTCTGAACTGGCTGCATAAACTGAGCATAGGGATTTAAATGGGCCTGAGAAGTGAAGGGGTATGTCATCGAAGATGTGGCCACAGATGAGTAATCTGTCTTCCGCTTTTTACTTCTTACTGATTGTCTCGCTAACATTAACTTCTCCTTAAGAGAAGCCTCCAATGGATCCTTACTAGCTGGATCTTTTAAGGCTGATGCAACATCCCAGCCCTCCTTATTCACAACTCGCAACATATATGCTCGCATATAGGCTATTTCTCTAGCTCTAACAATTGGCTCTAATGACTTAGACAGCAACACTTCATCCAACTCTCTCCTAATTTTTCTCTATTCATTATACTCAAACTGGTCCCTTGGTCTATCCATTTTAACTTCCGGCCAAGACTTATTCTCATTTTGATTTCCAGCTAACTGCAAGCTTGACTTATCTCTTCTATTGCTTTCATTAACATTACTTGTAATAATTTCTTCAAAGATCTCTCTAAAGACAAAAACCTTCTTTTTTCAAGAACCTTCTCCTCGGTCATACAGTTCCACAAGACACTTTCTGGAGTATCATCAGCTACCCTTTCCAACATTTTACCAAATTCAACAGACTGGTCAAAAACTTGAGCCCGATCGAACCTATGATTATTCCCTTTCAACCTATCCCTGGCTTGGTTGTCACAATCTTCATTTACTTGAAAACTATTAGGTAACTTAACTGACTCTTTCTCTTTTATTTTACTAGCCATTTTAAGTGCAAAATGATCCGCTAACTCCTTCTTGAATCCTGAAACAGATAGACCTTCTGCGTTACAAAGAATTCTCAAAGTGTCTAAGGTTAGTCTGTCCAGGCTATTCTTAAAAGTCATATCAGCTGAGTCCGGTTTTACTGATATATCATGCATTGAAAGGTTCAGAACCTCCTCAAGTAGATCTTCAAAACTCATATTAACTCACTTTGCAGACAAAGAAAACAATAAAGAAACAATAAGCAAAAGTAAAGATATAATAAGCAAAGTAAAGATACAATAAGCAAGGTACCATGTTCGATGTTTGAAAATCTTTTCTTTTGTAAAATAAAAAACAAGCCAAAGTAAAACAACAAAGTTTATAACACGAAACAACAAAGTTTAAAACTTATATTTATTTAGAAACAAGGTTTTAACTCTTAGTATTTAATGATTAATATCGATAAAGCTGAACTCCCTTGAGTCGAGCACAGCAAAGCAAAAAGACAAAAATAATTAACTAGCATATTACCAATATAAACAGGAAATTCATGACATCATAACCATTACTGTAACATGACAATATATAGCACCTAAATTATCCATGTAACACAGATACATTGTCATGACCCCTGTACTGACTGGTTTGGCTCATGACAAAAAGAGCTACTCATGACTCTGTCTCGAGTAGCCTACAAACAAGTAAAGTCTGTGGCTGTATTAATGCGTTGTCATATGTTGGTTGAGTGTTATATGGAAGAAATAAAAGTTCAATAGAAAAATTTAAAGTAACAATGAACGAGTTGTAGGAAAAAGGGAAAAGTACTTGCAAATAAGGGTAAAATGGTTGGTGACAATGAGAAAATAGTGCCTCAAGTGTGTTTGAAACTTCCTTCTTTTTCCCTTATAATCCTCTATAAATATGGTTCGAATTCCCCCTTCTTGTATTATTAGGATAGAATCATCCTGTATTTTATTATATTAGAAAAAATCAAATAACCTTTTAGACTTTAGACCCATTCTAATAATAAAACAAAAATTAATTAATAAAGTTCTAAATCATTAAAAATAAAAATAAATAAAATCATATGCTCCTTAATACGTTTTACATTAAACATCTGAATCCATTATAATGTTCTCAAAGGCTGCCTTTGACCTGTGTCAAATCGAAAATGCATCACCTGCCTTTGAGTAACGTTACACAATGCCAACGTTTCTGAAGCGACAATTTGTCACATTCCTTCCTTTTCGTGGTGGTGCTGTCCCAACCAATCTGGCAGTAATAATGGTTAAATAGGAAACTCATCGTTATAATTTTGGCCAAATTGCAGATCATGGCCAGATCTAAAACAAACCAATTTCAAATCTGGTCAAATAATCTGTAAATTTGACCAAAATTATAACTGATAGATTTTCTATTTTTGTATTTATTAGATGAACGCTACCCAAAAGTTTCGAACACCATGTGCCAAATATATTCGAATAACTTAATAAATGTAATATTTATTATAGACAGAATGTATTATCAGTTATTATTATGGTTTTTCTAAATATATATTTGGAATGTTCTATTGCTTTTAAATCATCCAATTTACACAATGGCACAAAGTTTTTATTAATACTATTGATCAATTGTTACTATTTGTTTAATAATTTCTTGTTGATGCATCCTGGGTTCAAATAAATAATCAGTTATAATTTTTCAGAAAAACATTAAAAACAAAATCTACAAGATTTTCTGATACAATTACATTTTCTTGATTAGTTTAATTTTCATTCTTTTTTTGTTTATTGTTAATGGAAATTTTTGCAATAGCATATTTATTGGATTTTATGCTTCTGACGATTGCTTTTCACTTTAAAAATCTAAGAAAAAATATTAATTCATAATCAAATTATAATGAATTGACAATATCACATTATTTTCAAGACTTTTTTGGATGATGATTTTACCGCAGTCGTTATATCACAGATAATTTAACCAGACTTAAAATTGGTTTGCTCTAGATCTGGCCAAATGATCTGCAAATTTGACTGGAATTATGAATGATAAGTTCTCTATATATCAGATGATCAGACCCTGCAGACCTGCCGATATAATTGCATACTGAATTATACTGATTATTATTATTTTTATCAAACAGGAAATTAAAAATCTGGCATTGGCTAGTGGTTGGCTAAGCCACTCAGTTCAGTTACGGCTGTAGCTGGCTATAGCCATAGCTGATTCTATCTCTAACTGCAATACTCTGGCATACGTCTAACACAAAGTACTTTATTTTTATAACATCAACAACATCAACAGTACTTAACTTTACTATTTGTCCTTAATAACATTTGTGTTGGAATCTTTTGCATATTGCTTATACAATTACTTGTTGGCTCTTGCGTCAAATTTTAGTGGTTGGTTAAATTTTCAACTTTATAGTTAAATGATCAAGTTCAGAGATGAGGCAAATGCAATAGATTGTCACTTGAAAAATAGTTATGCCATGTAATGTTCCTCAAGATAGTAGAGGCAGTTTTAGGATTTGATACAAGGTCAAGGTGATCATTATGAAGTGTTACAAGATAAGTACAAAAAATTTTTTCATGAGTAAAATTATATTAGGTAATTCAAGAGGTTTTTATTAATAACTTTTATTATTATTATTTAGAAACTTTATTTGACTTGTGGGTTATATTATGTACTATTCTAAATTACTCTATATGAATCATTTTTAACTTCTTTTAAGAAAGAAAAATTTTATCTTTTTTATAATAAATTGATTGTAAAAAAAGCACATGCAAGGCTATGACTCTTCTTATTGTTTCCATTGTTTTTTTGTTTTTTTTTGTTTTAATCTTTAACCTCTTTTATACAGCCTTTCATTTCTTTAATATTTCTTATATTCTTTATAAAACCAATAAAAATATTTTAGTATTGTTTATTTTAGAGTTAGAACTCAACATAATTATTACAATCATATTCTCTTTGACATCATTGTCTTACTTTAAATCTAAAAAAGATAAAATAAAGTCAATAACTATTTCTAGTTATAGTGATGTAAACAGGTTAATTCAGATCAATTTTTCTTTAATTGAAAAGAATAATAGGGTTCTGTATTAAGGTTTGTGTACTATTATGGAAATGCCCACAGCAAAACAAGGCTTTGGGACTATATATTATATAGTTCCTAAGCCTTGTTTTGCTATGAACATCTCCTTATATAACTTTCTTGAAGCTAGACATACATGTTTCAAGTAGATCATAATGGGCATTACTAATTAGATAAGTATAATACTATAATAATTATTTTGCAGGTCTTTTAGTATGACAGTTTTATTTTTGATTATTTTTTTTTGTCATAATTTTTTATATTTTATGAAAAAGTTTTACAAAGAAGGTTGGATTTATAGAGCATCATTTGTAATTTAACTGGTAGTTTAGGAGTTTAATTTATAGATTACAAAAAATAATTAAAAAATAATTTTGTTTTTACCAGAAACAGAGTATGAAGTATGTAGTATATAGTTTACAAGCAACTTAAATATGTATGTACAATTCTCAGCATATGATTGGGTAATCTGGCATCATAACTTTGTGTAGCACTCCAGATAATACTTTAAAAGGTAGGCACCAAAAACAAATGCCTCTATACACAAAATCTTAAAATTGATTGGTCTGTGTAACTTATTCATAATTTGATATTTTTTAAAAAACCTTAAATGAGCATATACATCTGTAAAATTGAAGATGCTATAACAAATAATAGTAAAAATAAGTTTTTTAAATACAAAAATTAATGTTCTAATATAAATTTAAAGGCCTTAATGCTAAATATTTAGTAATTTTTATTTTTTTTATTAAATTTTTTATCAGACTAATAAAATCATAATCACAATCATCAAAGGCTTACTCGAAAATCTTGTTGATTATTTCTTAATACAGATATGTTTTATAGATTTTGCAAAGCCCTAGAATTTTGAGTCAGATTCATTGAACTAACATTAATTTTATTAGTATTGTTAGAAATAAAAATGTGACACTGTGCAGGCATTTTTTGAGGCTGCGCAGTGCAATTTTTATAATTCTGGCTAGCTGGCATAATTCTGGCCAGCTTTATAATCTAGGTTTAGATTATTAATTAAAAGAAAAACAGATCTGCATTACCTGATTAATAAAATTCATTGTTCATAATTCTGGTCAAATATGCAGATTATTTGACTACATTTAAGTTGTTTTGTTCTAAATTTGGCCAAATAATTTGCAAATTTGACTAGAATTATCAATTCACTGATATGTAAAGAAAAAATAGAAAAAATGCAAACAACAAAAGCTGATGTTTAAAACTAACTATGAAGCATTAATAGCAATGATAAGAGCCCAACTTTACACATATTAAGTAGCTGTTTATATATATAAATGCAAAACTTAATAAGTAAAGGCTCTAGGGACTGAGGTTGTGCAAGTTGCACAGTAGATCCAAAAAACCTTGATTTTCTCTTCTCTAGTTAGAGATAAAACTGACACTCTATAGAACCTGCAAAATAGATGTCATTGTGGCATACTTACCTAATTGGAAGTGCTCATGACAGTTCATCTGAAACATGTACATCCAGCTTCAAAAAAGTCATATAACAGTATACAAGCCTTTATGTGGAACCCCACCATCCTCTTCAAATAAAAAAAGGTCAATCTGAACCAACCTGTTCCACTGAGAATGGATGTTGACTTCACCTATCCTACTTGGGTTAGATATGAGACAATGTCAAGAAATATGTGATTGAAGACAATATAATAAATTCTGGCTTCAGGATAGTAAAACTAAAACATTTTTCATTGGTTCTATAAAAGCTATAAAAATGTTAAAGTAATGAAAAGCTGTATGTAAGGGGTAAAGGTTAGAACAAAAATAGTTAAGAATAATGAGAAGAGACATGATCTTGATGGGCTCTTCTTGTAGTCAATTCATTATAAAAGAGATGAAATTTCTTCTAAAAAAATTGTAATACTTATCTTATAATGCTTTTTATTGATCACCTTGATCTTGTGCCAAATTAAAAAACTAATTCTATATCTTTGAAAAATGTTATGTGGTATAATCATTTTTCAATCAACAATTCATTGCATTTGCCCATTTCTGAACTTGATCATAAAACCCATAACAATAGGTTTTTAGGCTTAGTTATTAAAATTTAAATCAATATTCAGATTGCAAGTACTATAAACTTCTTTT